CGCTGTTGAATTAGTCGATAGAACGGAAGCAAATTTCTTTGGCACTTAATCACTGCGAGTGCACGCACACAAATCAACGATTATATGTTTTTCAGTTCGTGTATCGTTCTCGATCAGTAAAAAACGCCGCACCTCAGCTCTACAGAGTGTTCCGCCGTGATTGACTAATTTTACTATATAACACAACTAATATTCAAATTAGTACACGCCCTGTGTATTATATGTAACGGTCGTGTGCCCGCGGTGTACATTGACATAATAATCTGTCGGTGCAAATGTGCGACAAAAAATCGGAATTCGAAAAGAATAAACGGTTTTTTTTTGGGGAGCAACAGCTCAAGTCTGGTAATAATTCAAACGACGAACGAGTAACGGTCTCGTTAGTACGAACAGGTTGCTATCGAAAATTAAACAATTATGTGTTATTAGTAGTTGTTTAACTAATGACCTAAAGATATACAAACACCAACAGCATCTTCGCTGCAAGCGTAATTAGTAATTTAATTTGAATATATATATATATTGTCCGTTTAATAAATATCCGACTAACTGCGGTCGTCTCGTTTATGATAATATCGTTACTCTTAAATATTATACTTATTTTCACACGCACACCATTAATTGTCGGCCCTTTCATTATAAATGTATTTTCACGCGCATTTATAAAAACAAATTTCGACAATGATGTTGAAATTAGGCGCTATCTAATTGAATCCGCAGACTGATATGCTAAAAAGTGTAACGCGGCTAGTTGGGATGTGTTGAATGATTTGCACGGGTCTAATACACGTGTCTCACGCCATCACTACCGTAGTCCTATTCAAATGAATTACTTTTTATCATTGTCACTGTTCATTTAAACTTGCCGTGTACTAGGTTGTATTAGTAAAAAATCCAACAGCATAATTTATGGAAAAATAATAATTAACACAGTCATCGCCCGCTTAATTATTTTAATTAATCCGTTTACTTTTGTTGTACATTTAATACTCGATAGTAACTGGGTGTGAGGATCTTCATTAGGCTGATAAACAACAAGTTCAAACACAATCGAGTTTTTATTTTAATTACACTAAAATGTTATTTATCGGTACGGCCGTGCAATTAGTGTGTTGGACAGCTAGTAACTGTTTCACATTAGTCTCGTATGAGTTTTTGACGGCAAATTGAATCGGAAGATTTTTGATGCGAATGAGTCATAAAAAACATTAAGTTAAAAATACTGTCTACCATAATTTCATTGAATTTTCCGGAATGACATAGACACAGAGGAGTCTGTCCAGTTAGATATCAATGCACTCTTATTTTGATAAGCCAACAATTACAACTCCGAGATTATTCATTTGAAATTAATAAAATTACTGATGATATTTATGCCATTGAACAAACTAACGTGGAAATAATTATACATCTTCAACAAGGCTCTCGTCAATTCTCCTCTCTCTGATAAATACCAATTGATATGAGAAAAACATAGTATTTTCATCAAATAAGTCTTGTGCGCATAATGATAATTACAAGACGGGGTTTTAGAAATAACAATTATCTCTAGGCAAAAACATGAATGATCGACAAAGAAATAATAACAGAGTTTAACTGAAATATTATTGAAACTATACACATATTTTCACAAACGTATACGAGTGTGTAATAACGGTTCAAGATGTTTGCTTTTGTGAAAAAAAGAAACCATCAGAATCCGCTGCGGGTAATCAATTAATTTTTTACATATTAACAAACGGTGTAGTGTATAAACACAGGGAATACTATAAGTCATTATCAAATTAACGACCTCCGATTTGACCCCAAGCAAATTGGCGATTTTTCAACAGAAGAGATTACATTGTGGTGTATTTGTTTATTATTAGCTGCAAACGCGTTCGTTAAATACTCGAGCGCAAGACATTTATATTTCTAATTAATTGAACTAATTAACGCGGTGAACGTGCATCCGTTATCTAGTGCACATCTATCACGGCATCGTTAAATTTTTGCCGTAAAAAATTATTGGAACGGTTTTACACGTGTGATGTTAATAACAGTTTTTTTTAATACGACAATTTCAGTTTTCAAAACGCACTAGCCTAAATACGTTTTCAGTTCGTAAAAAAAAATGTGTTTACACGTTCAGCATATCAGTGGTTAATTTGATGAAAATTTTAAATGACAAGTCACACGAACTTTAATTTTTTTGCCCGTGTAATATCGTTAAATTTTGTTTTTCGTCGCCCAGAAGGCTTGTGCGTTCATGGAAAAATGTGTTAACCGATAATTTGACAACATTGTGGTGTTGTTTATCGTATTGTCTCTTAATTATTAAAGAAATTCAGCGTTTTTTTTTTTTTGAAATTATTATAAAAAATACAGTGCCTCATTTTGACGATTGCAACTTTGCCACAAAACTAGTCGCGCACACGCTGACTGGGCCATACTTTGATAGCAAGCCCGTTTCTTGTTAAAAAATCAAAATATAGTAATCTAAGAAATGTAGTGAATATTAATTTTTATTCCTAACACCTAAAATTTATGTCTAATTATTAAAAATACAAAAGGAACCCATTTTTAACAGTCTCTCCTTGCGTCCATAATCAGAAACAACAATACTGATTCTTACTTTACCGTTAATTACAAAACATTATAATTCAAACATCCTGTAATATTAAATATAAAGCTCTATGATTATATTGTTGAAAAATGTTTAAATCTCAATTCCTAACGTTATATCCTAAGATTTTTTATGTGTAATTTCGAAACCTACAAACGTACGTTTAAAGCAATAATTGTGTTAATCACGTCTGATGTTCTTCCAACAGCCACAGTCCATAGACTTTTTACTGAAATCTCTTATACGAATTATGCATATGTATAATACATAACTGTATATAGTTGTATCCAATAGTATCCAATGTCCTAATCGAGCAGCGCAATCGTGTTAACACGTTTATGGACATTGTCCGACAAAAACGAAGCGATAGTCTTTTTGGTGCCATCAGTAAATTAATGATTTCCTTTGTTAAAAAACACACTATACGATCCAATTATTAAGACTGATTAAATGAAGATTGTTCTTTATGGCTCGTGCACGTTGTTCGATAAACTGGGTGTTCGCCGAGTAAAAAATGAAACCAAGTGTGTAAAAGTCGTTGAAAATAAACCAAACCTGGATAAATAGATCTTAACGTGCAAATAACTATCATTCGGTTTGTCAACCGATACGTTAGTCCATTCATTCCGGTCTACAACATTTTTTTTATACTTTTCGACGATTTCAATCTGAAGAAGTGGAATTTTTATTGTACTTTAAAGACGATACATCAACTCCTAGCAGAAGATTATCATCAAATTATTATTACACACCTAAACGGCACGTTCAGATCTGTTGTTTGCGATGTGTGAATTGTCTGAATACCTTTGAGCTATTACACTATCTATCATCGTTGATTTATTTACAACAACAACAATAAATTCATATAATATAATAACAAAATCCATATGGTGATTTAAATGTACTAACAAATTCCACCCGTTCTCGTCGACGCGGCTTAAAACGTCACGCCAATAGTGATAATAAAACATATGTGAGTATATACATGACTGTAGCCAATGCAAGACAAGACCAGCGGAGATTTAAAATATTTCTGAGTTGTTGCGTTAAGTCTGGAAAAACATTTCAACTTCAACCGATGACTTCTGAAATCAATTTTATTTCAAATTTCAAACAAAACGCGTTTAACCTCGGCGAGTTTAAATATAAAACACGAAAAAAGTGCTTTAAGATTTGTTTGCCAATAAAATGAAAAATAATACGTTTGTCAATAAAATGACGGTAACACAATGATCACTGGACACTCTGCACAAAATCTTCAATAATTTACCATAACGAGTGCGAACAAACAGCCAACAATGACATATTATTTGCATTCCACGTCGTTTCTCGCCAAAACGTTTCCGGACCGTGTGTATGCTATTTTTTAAGTTACAATCACGCAAGCCATTGATACATATATATAGAGTATAAATGAAATGCGGTCCGTTCTTTTCGCGGAAACGTCCAGCAGAGTTCTCGGGAATTAGCGCAGGTAAGCAAAAAATGTCGAGACGAGGCAAATACACAAACCATATAATTTCTCGACACAGCGCTGTTTTTTATTTTTTTTTACGAATACGGTAGCTTGTACAAATCAAATTCCCCGTGAATATGTTTCATTATTTGTTTTCTTTAAACTACACTCATCCCTGACATCTCTTTTTAGATACAGTCGTCTCGCGTGGAGCACGTAGAGCGCTTGTTAAGTCAACTACAAGAATAGTAAAAATGTTAAATGGCTTGGAGCCAACATACTGGCGATCAATTATTGACAACTATAACTGAATGAGAAGAAAATGTAAAAATAATAGGATATTTCAACGAGTTTTTTGCCACCTACTATGGTGTGCAGAGCGTTTTTTAACGTACACTATTTTTAAAATGTGATCATTCGAGTTTGCTTCTCCCTTGCGAGAAAAATACCGATTTAAGACCGATTATTGGCCACCTACTGATGTTGTTCCCGGTTACCCGCCGATTGCATAGGCTTGGCTAAAACAGTAAATAGATGTTTTTTTTATGATAAAAACCAATAAGGTGGTCCTTTATAATGGATAAACTAAGGAGTGTCACGACGAATTGAGTCGTGTATCGAGTTGTACGGCACAATTAATAAAAACATTCAAAGCCACGACCTATCGCTACGATTACTTGTAGAAATAATAAAATATTTTTTTTTTATCTATGAGGGGGTTTGAATTGATTGTAAAGTCAAACGATTGAATTATTTTTTTCCTACTCAAAACGGATGATAATTATTACAAATATTTTAGATTTTCATTCATTGCACTCGTATCAATTTTTACAGAAAAAAAAAAAAATCATAAAAGAAATACTCTGTACGGTAAATTAATTTAACATTACTATTGTTAATTTCCGTCGAGGATTTCGTCAGAGTTAACAACGGACTTACCGGATTGGAACGTGGTGATGAGCAGAAATAAAGCGAATATCCGGCTCGGCACCGATGAGCCACCGGTGATGACCATGACGGACGACATGTCGTCCACAGCAACAGCGTGACTAGACCGGCCAAGAGACATTGTGGCGCGAGAGGACCGAATCGTTTGCCGTCAGAACGTCGACTGGCGGCCGTGTTGAGCTCTCGCGGTAGCGATGCCGGTGACGCCTTACCGGCGGCAAATTCAGATACCTCCCCGTCGTGCCGTTCCATTGAAATCTGACGCTACTGGAATTGTACGAGGTGATAATTGAAATTCAAAAAAACGCACACTCAAATCAACACATTTCACAGTTCGATCGGAACAGACAGTTTGTATAAATTCATTACCATTTTTTTCTCTCCAGAAATTATATTCACAAAAATTTAATATATTTGTGAGTCGAGAAAAATCTCTCGAATTTCGAGCAAAGCGAAAAATACGTTATTTTTGTCCACTTTGACTACTGACAAGTATTTAATGAATTATCAATCATAACTCAAAATACTTTCAATATTAATTTTTATTACACACAAACGCAAAAAGATAAATGTCAAGTGACAGCTTTTACAATACATCGCGGCTATACGTACAGAAAAGGTTAAAAAAATATTTTACATAAGCAAATTTTGTCAACATTTTGAACAAATCTTTACTATATTATTTTTTAAATACGAATAATTATATAACTATATAATTATAGCCTATAACTTTTGTTTCAGTTTATATATTGCTTTGCATTGTTTTCGACACATTTGTCTCAATTTAGCGTTTTATTTATCACAGAATAAACATTTTATTTTTTGTACTTAAAATCAATAATAACATACTAAAGATAATAATAATTTCAGGAATAAATTTTTCTAAAAAAAAATTTCATTTACTGTAATTAACTAAATATAATAATCAGTATGGATCTGTTAAAATACTAATTTGAATTTTTGTAAAATATTATTCAATATAATATGGGAAATGTTTAGTTAACTCAAAAATTATAAAAATGAACTTATATTATTATAATTCAACAGATGTTTAAGCATATATATTATTCTTATTTTCTATAAATGTAGAACAGAAGACATACGTGTCCTTTGACACTTTTTAAAATTATACTTTAATAAAAAAATTTTAGCCATCATTGATTATTTTTCAATGTTTTCATTAAAACTTGTCAACTTTTGTTTTTTACTATTTTCTGTGATTTTATATACAAGAGCAGACCAGATTTCAAAAAAAAAAGTAGTTATGTTAGATGATTTACTTGAGTATTTGGGATGGACAAATTTAGTCGAAATACATTATATAAAATATTACAAAACAGCATATTATCTTCAAACTCTTATTGATACACCTACGTGTGTCTCTAAAGGTAATATGAAAATACGAGCTTTGACGATATATCTTGGATGTTCATATGCAAAAATTATAGATAATATTTTTTTTGTTATAAGCATGGCTACAAATGAGTGTAAAATAGAAATTGGCAAAAAGAGACACTTTATAGATGGATTCATTTGCACAGAAGAACTCATAAACATAATAATCAGATCAATTGCTCCAATGGCAACAATGATGAAAGGTGCTATGGACGCTTTGGATTCATTACATATGAGACCATGGGCTACTTCTGGTGTACCTCATTATATGGTAAATTCTTTATTAGGGAAAATAGGAAATATTCTTGACGACTTAAATATAGGAACGCTATCACGTGATGATAAATCTACATACAATTCTACATTGCAAATTATACATTTATTTTCATTGAAAACATTGAAGGATGTAAAAAGTGAAACTAAAAATTATTGTGAATTTGTACTTTATGATAACAAGTATTTATTTAATGAATGGTTTAATGAGTATAAAACCCTTATTGAACAAAACGAAAAATTATTATTTATCAAATTCTTAACCAAAAAAATTAAACATTATACAAAAACAGTAATCATAGAAAAGTATTTTCAGCTCGGATTTAAATTTGATCCGATTACAGAAGAAACATTTATACCAGACATAACGAAGAGACAATTAGAAATAGGTATTTAAAATAAAAATATATTAATTAAAATATAAATTCAATAACATATAACTGTTTATTTTTTGATTTTAGAATTGGAATTTAAATTATCAAATGAAGAGCCTTAATTTCATTATAAATAAAAACTCATTAAATGTTGTAATGCAATTAATGTTAACAATTAAATTTATTTTAATCACTAAACATTAATAATGTAATTATAATATATTTTTAAATTTTAAATTATTATTAAAAAAAAATATTAATAAACCCAGCACAGGGGGGTCGTGGCACAGTGGTGACGTGGCATAGTTGGATCAAGTATAATGATATCTGATAGTAATTAAAATCACTATCAAAAAAAACGTTTCCATGCAAATCTTTAGATAATGTCTAATTTTAAAAAATTGATGTATTATTCCAAAATTATTCCAAAAGCTACATGATCTGCTAGTTCCATATCAATATTCTGATTAAGATAAAGTATGTTGAATGAAAAAGGGATTATTAAAAAATATTATTTCTCATAAAAAAATTGTATTGATCCAATCATTTTCTAAAAAGTTATATCATTTTAAAGTAAAAAATGTAAATTATAAAATCACAAATATAGCATTCGGTAGCCATTTTTGCCTTGAACACATGTCCAGAAGTGAAATTTTTTTTTGTTCAAATTACAGTATATTACATTAGCTTTAATTTAAGGTATATATAAAAGTGTCAGACCTTCCGGAACATTTTCAAAAGTTAAGTAGAAAAAGTAAATTTTTTGTGAAAAAGTTGTCATTTTAAATCCCCCCCTGTGGACAGATAAAGGGTCAGATTTACAAAAAAAATATATCAAATTATAGGTAAAGACATCAAGCATCTATAAAAAAAAAAATTGTATTGATATGTTCATTTTTGAAAATGTTGCGGCAGTTTTTAGTAAAAAAAATTGAAAACATTTCAAAAATTAGCAATTTTTAAATTTGTAATTTTTTTGAAGATTTCCCCCATTTACGGGGAACGAGGAAAATATTTTCAATTTTTGAGGCTAATGTCTACGACTAGATACGATTTGTAATCTTTTGACTTATCATTGAAAGAAATCGGTTCGGTGAGAGCTGTGAAAAAGTGGTAACAGACACCAAAAAAAATAACACATCATAGTAAAACCAATACCTTCTCAGCTTCGCATTGAAGCTAAAATAAGTAAATTATATTATTATAGTTATTATTACTTGTTGAGGTTTGTGATCAAATGATAGAGGAATAGCATTCCCTTTCTTATCACACATTACACTTTTAGAATCACCAACATTTGCAAAGAATAAAGTATTTTTTTCAACTAAAGCAATTATTGCTGTACTATCTAATCATAGGTAGTATAATAACCCAACCACATCATAGTAAAATTAATGCCTTCTCAGCTTCGCATCAAAGCTAAAAAAAACACAGCATAGTAAAACCAATGCCTTCTCAGCTTCGCATCGAAGCTAAAATATAAATATAAACGATGAATGATTCATTTATTTATTGGTTGTACTCCCAGAAAAGTTTTATGAATATAGTATTTATATTATCAAATATTAAAGTTGGTTTTCTAACACCAAATATAACTTGGCTGTCTCACCGAGGTATAAATATGTTAAAAACTTTTGAATATTGGTTTATTTTACGGTCGACCTAAAAATATTGCATTGCGTCATATATTTACATCATGCAATGGACTAATTCTAAAATATTAAATGATTAAAATTTGTTAACGTTAAATTTATTAATTTGTCAATCATTTTCAGAATTAAATCATTCTTTAATAAATAATTTAAATATTTTTTGTTAAACAAACGGTTTAATCAAATAAATAAATAATAAATAAAAAAATAAAATAAGTTACAGACAGATAAAGTAAAGTTTTTCTGAATAAGTCATATCAGATTCGTATTGCATACACAATATTTACCATCACTTTCTCTTAAAAATAATTAATGTTGTTCTAAATTTAAATCAGTTTAAAGTTAGATTTCGTTAAAAAAAATATACTAATGTTTTTTTTTTTTTTTTTTTTTTCTAAAA